ATGACTGTGATGCTACTTTAATGTTCTATAACGTAGTTAGGTTCTATAATATCTAACGTCAAAAATTTTTTAAATGAAGGATTTCAGATATCTGAAACGTTCATTCAGTAGGAATGTTCTAATGGATATGTGGAATAGAATTACACATATCTGGAACACATATCCAGTCTGCATAAGAAACATTAATAGGATCACCTTAGGTTCTAAGGGAAATCTGAGATATCTCAAACTTAATTCCAACTAGTGCAGTTGTTGTTATGGGAATCCTTAGTTATAATTTCTATAGTAAAAACATTATCATTTTGTTTGTAGAGAACACTTAAAAAAAGCATGAGAGCTGACCAAAGTGCTTCCCAGGCAGATAGAGATAGCTGTTGATGTCTTCACTTGTAATTTTGAACAATAGGAATACGTTTAGTACTAGGACAAATTAAATGATTGCTATACAAAATAGGAAGAGCAGAAAGGTCTGTATGTTGATTAAATGTTAAAATGGCTTGCCACAATCTACCAAATGTGAAATGTGCTTCCCCAGAGGAAGGGTCAAATGCAGAGAACAAACTTGCACACCAGTGTGACAGCATGTGAGACTTTTAACGTTACCAGTTTATAAGCTTGGCTCTCCTATATTCCAGTCAGAATTGACAAAGCTCCTTGCATGAAAAGTAAAACAACTTAAAACAAAATTAAGAAGTCAAATTGCCTTCTTTTGAACCCCTTTGTAAAAAGAAATTAACTTCATATTTGCCTAAATTTAGCCTCTGATGGTCTGGTGACATATCTGATGATTCCTGGGAAAGACATCAGCTCGCTCTCTCTAGCCCTACACGGGAGAGGAAGTCTCTTTAAGGATAACAACTTTAGCTTTAGGCAATAGTGGAGGGCTTCATTTGTGTTTATTGGCAAAACGGGGTGTTACAATTTGACTTTGAATAAAGGTTAATAAGACAGTTGCCTATTTTATTTTACAAAAAATTCTAATAATAGAATTAATCTGTTTCTTGCTAACTGGGACGAACAACCTGAACACTACTCTTGCAATTGACCTCCAAGTGAGGTCACATTTTCCTTCGAAAAAGATAAGTTTACATCATGTGTACAATTAAAACCAAAAGAAGCCTTCATGGTCAACAGGCTGTGATGCCTACGGTTAGTCAAGAACTTGGAGTTAATGCAAAATGCACTCTCCTTTTGTGTTATCTTTTTATTTGTTTGACATTGAATTTTTGTGCCGAGATACTGTATGTTTTCCCTTTTGAGCCCCAGGTGAATTTGCATGTGTGTGTCCTGGTTTATCTGGGTTGTCGGTAATGAGACATCACGAAATCTGTCAGTGTGTTTATACATAGCATTTAGGCATCACCAAGGGGCTCGCCTGAGCTGGCTCCAACCATTAAGAGTGAAGGCATGATATATGAAGTAAGCTTAAGAGACTAACTTGTGTGGGCTTTGAGTGATCCCAAGACAATCCCAATTTAATTGTGCATAAAAGACCATGCACTGCATCATTTATTACATTGTTTATTTACCATCCCCCCATACACAAGCACACACACCCCCTGCCCCATCCCCATGTGAGCTCTAATTAATCCGTCACAGAAATCTCAACTTCATTAACTTGGGCAGCTTTAGGCCTCAGCTGGGGTTAATTACTAAAATAAAAATGGAAATATTTTGTTCTGAGAAAACAAACAGTGGGTGTGACTGTAATACAAAACTCAACAGCACGCTTTAAGAGGTCGCGTTTCACTGTACCCATTAGATGTGAGAACGTGGGAATCAAAATGAAATGAAATTATTTGTTTAGCAAAAAGAGTATAATAAAAGATCATTTCGTTTGAATCCGTGAATGTAAATGAATGATTTGATTTGGAGCTAAATGGATAATATTTACTAAATGCAAAGATGAAAGATAATAAAATGTAAGCAACAATAAACATGGAGCTTGTCTGAAATTCAGCTGAAGTCCATTTGAACCGGATAGTAAAGGTCAGCTCTAAAATTTAAAGCTAAAAAAAGTGCATAAAGACAATAAAGCAGCTAATTTACGTGAACTTACTTGCAAGAGAAGAACTGATGCACATCTCTTTTTTTACATCATGTTGCAACATCTGGTCCCAATACTCAAGATCCTCCGTGTTCATCACGTGTTTGCAATGCACATATGTACACTTAATTACACATACAAACACACACTCTTACACATTGACAAAAGCTGTGAAAAGATCATGGGGGGGGGGGGGGGGGTAAAAGTGAAGGATGAAAAGGAGAAAAAAATAAATTGGCTCAAAAGTTAACAGCTGTATAATATCTGCAATGGGTCTCAGTAGATGCATGCCGACTGCAAAGACTCAACAATTAATTATCCTGCTGCAGATTCCTGGCAGCCCCTCATTTTTACTGACGAGTGCACTCCTGCTGCTTCTTCAAAGATTAACATTTAAAAATTCATCAGCTGGCTTTTTCAGGGTACTCAGATGCCTCCACCATTTTTCCATAAGAGTATGTTTTATTATCTCTGTGCTTATTATCACCACCATCCCTTCTATAATGCCAAGGAGCAAAATGCTTAACTTAATCAGGCAGTTAAACAAGAGACAATCATCAGCAAATATCATCTGGTGTTGAAGCAACAGCTCAATCCAGTGATATTAAATGCGTCTTTTCATGTTTAATCTGAAGTCTGGCTAAGGTAGCAGTGTTAAGAGCAGTATTAAGACTATTAAGAATTGGGCTTACTACTTGTTAAAGAGCAAGTAACGTCTAAATTAACTTTTTTTTTTTGCTGATGAACTGTATAAATGAGTGTCTAATAGTGTTTTAAATGTGTGTATTCATTATTTTAGCATTTTGGTGCATTTTCTTTAAAAATTAAAAATTTTGCCTAAATACTACAGTATAGCTCCACCTTCAGCTTAAAACATAGAATTTGACTCATTTTGAATAAATTTTAGCCAATGGCTAAAGAGTAAGATACTATGTAAACCAGTAGAGTACTACGTAGCAGCTCTCTGTCAAAGTTATAAAAGGATCGAGCGTCTCGGCCACGCCTTGTGGCGAGTTGGGAGTTGGATTTGCAAGCGAGTGTAGGAGGCTAGCCGTAGTTCAGCATTAGCATATAGCATTAGCATATCCTAGTCTTTAGCATAGCTTTTAGTGTTATACATACTTATTTAGTGTTAGCTTGGCTGTTGGATATTGTAGTTTAGTTAGTGTTTGGCTGTTATTGTAATTAGGAAAGTAGTTAGGGTTTAGTGCTCCATATCGTGTTAGCATGGTGAGATGGTGTAGTGTAGTATGGTTGCGGTAGCTCTGTGGGCATTTTACCCGCAATTCTGCACGCCTCTGTTTGAAGAGGGAGGCCGTGCCCACCGTGGCTCTTCCGCGATTTAGATGCAGCCCACCGACTCTGCTCCCCCACCACGGCGGGCTCCAGTCTGAGGTGAGTCAGCTAAATAAAGTTTTAACATCTTCTAAAGACAATTCCCTACCTAAATGCAAAGTCCGAGAGACGTGGTTCACTTCCTTTAGCTAGTCAGTCGGTAATTCTGCAACAGTGTCTCTAACTAACGCAGCACCAGTTGACAGACAGCATTACAGCGTGAAATCCAGCTTGTGAACAGGTTCTGTAAGGAATTCTGTTCAGGAGGTCGCATTTCAGGCTCTCCACATCATGTGTGACTGACTTTTACGTTATAACAACGATCACACACTAGGAATGTTATAAAGCGCCTTTATAGGACAGTTTCTTTTGTATATTATCTGACTTTATAAACTCCACCAACAATGTGCTTCTATTTTTTTTTCAGGCTAAATCTACCCAAGACACTGGCTGTCAGACTGATTTAGCTGCAAGAATGCACTTGTCCAGGCAGACGTGAAGCTTTACCGGCGTAGCAAAGGTGAATTATTTTTAATAATCTTCTATGTAAACATTTTATTATTACCTTCTAGTTTTAATTTGTTTTACAGATTATTGTTGCACGTGATTTTATGCTCTTTTAAACATTTATAAATGTGCTGCTTCTTTGTTTTTGTACATAGCCAGCCAGAAGAGCTCACAGCCTCAGTGTGTCTTGTGACACAAGGATCATGACGGAAATTCATCTTCCAGAAAGTCAGAGCAGCGTCCACACCCCTGACGATGTGAGGTGTCTGCTGTTGATTCCAGCTTCCACCTCAGTGACAGTGCAAGCTCAGTGAACTGTTCAAGGTAAAAAAAATTTAAACATTTCAGAATTTTTAAGATATTAACAATTAAATAAGTATGTGATTACATCATGAAGGAGGCTACTGATTCTGGCCCTGTGACACTTGGTGGTGAGGTGAGCTGATTCACCTGGTAAATAACTTTTACATTAAATATTTTGTTTTTGCTATCAAAAGTAAATTAACTAATAACCTGCATTATTGCAGGACACTCAGCAAAATATGGACTCTACACCATGAGGCAGGCTCATGTTAATACTTATAAGAGCACATAAGGTGAGCAACACCACATATTATTGTACACTGTCCTGGATTTGTTTTCTTTCTGCATGATTTGTTTTCTTTCTGCATCTCATCATTAGCCTGGCTGATCACGTGATAACTCCTGTCATCTGGTTATGACAGCATGAGGATGTCCTAACACACCTGTAACCTATCAGCTCATCTGGCAGAGTAGAGAGAGAAGAGACAACACCACATCTCCTATTCCTGGAAAGCCTTCAGCCATCCTTCGATGACTGAGAACCTCCATCAGCTCTGTCTCCTGTCTGCCTACAATTATTATAATAAATATTGTGTTTGACAAGTTTTTTGTGCTGCCAAATATCTCATTTTGATTCCAGTTTTGATATTTTAATGGATATTTATAAATTACATTAATTGAATTATCACATTGTCGCATGTTTAACTAGCTCTATTGTGATGAATTAAACTAACACCTCACTGTTAAAAGCTTGTTTTAATTTCAAGCATGTTTAAGTATTTATGGACATGAACAAAAATAGGAAATATATCAATTGAGATTTATTTAATATAACAAATAAGGGGGAAAGAGTCATTGAAAGGCACATTCTTCTGGAAGCTCCTGATCCTGACGACACCAGCAGAGGAGACCACCTGCAGACACCAGAGGACCTAGAACCGAGAGAGCAGTTGTTATTAGTAAATAAATAAAGAAATCAGGGCAGTTTTAGTGGGCTGAACACATTACAGAATAATTTTCTCATGGGATATTTTCATAACTTTATGCAGCAGACTGTAACTTAAGCCCAGGGCTACCGGAGAGCTGCTATCCAGCACGTTTCAGTGGTTTTCCTGCTTTAACAGGTTAGATTAGCTGTTAAGCAACTCAGCTATTTGTTGCTGATTAAAACCAGGTGTGTTGAAGCAGATAAACCTCTAACACATGCTGAATACTAGCTCTAGGGTCGTGGAGACAAACCCTGCAGCTAATCTGATGCTATGGCTAACGGCTACTTACATTCAGAGATGGTTCTGTTGGGTCGGTTCCTGTAGTTTCAGGCAACTCACAAGCTCAAAACAATAATAAGGCTCAGGTCCGCTTGTCTCCTCCAAATAGACTTGGTCCCTTTCTTCTCGAGTGTCTGTGTAAGGAGGGGGAGAAACGTCCTCCACTTCTAATGACTGCTCAGAGTGAAGGGAGCTAGCATCGTCTAGTTAGCCGTCGTCTTCATCACTGCCACGGCTCCGCCCTCTTGGTCCTCCAGGCAATGCCTACTAATGTTGCAGTTTTTAAAATTGATATGTGGGTGGAGTAAGACTCTGAGGGGGGAGTGACAACTTCTTTACGTTAACTTACAGACGCCTTATGTGCTGTTATCAGATAAGAAATGCTAACATTTAGCAGCAATTTACCTTTTTCTTTAACTGAAGTCAGTATTATGAAAGTCTGTATTCATTCTGGTATTCCAGTTAGTTGTGCCATTCATCTAAGACATATCCCCTAAATATACATATTTGTGGCATTATGTTTATTTTTTTCCAGGCTCAGTCCTTTGATGTTGGTCTCATTAAGTGAACTACCAAGTATAAAAATGCTCCCATGCTGTGCATTTTCCTTACCACTTAATTTTTGAGTGAATTTTTTTGATCATGTGACTGACTCTCCTTCTTCTATGGTTTTGATAGTGGTGGTATCGCACCCTCTAGTGGCACAAATTATATTACACCCATGCAAAGCCGAATGACTTAAACTGGCAGCAAACTGGATAAAACTATTTTATCCGGTTACAACATCATCAGCAATTAACCGGTTTACTACATACATCTCTAGTAACAGACCAAAAATGTTTTTAGGAACATTTTTTTGCGCTTGGTGTTTGCTATAGGGGGCCTAACTCACGCACATGAACTTTGGGAACATTGGCCTCTGGAAGGGCGATAAATTAAGTCAAGGGGCTAAAAACGTTATTTTCTAATCCCGTTTGTTATGTGCCATGGATTTCACATATGGGTGTTCGTGAATTTTTAAGACACATTCTTATGCCAAGTACGTGTTTATTTTGTGGAGCAAAATTAATTTTGCCTCACAAACCCAACGTCATCGAACCAGACACAGACAAAAGCAGAGGGAAAATGACTGTAAGTTCAGCTTCAAACCCTTCGTTCAGGAAGAAAGAACCAGCATAAATCTGGCCAGCTAATCTTGGGCATGTGAGAATTTGTGGTGATGTCATATTCGCGACATACTGACATCTGAATTGTAGTCATAGTAATTACGAATTTTTACAAGCTTATAACGCTCAAAGTACATGACTGACATAGTTGAAAGACATGTCATTACTTTTGATTTAAAATGCAGTACAACATGTGTGATTCAGGGCGTAAAGCAAAGTGGATTAGAAAATAGCTGTTTTAGCCCCATTGACTTGCATTGACCGGAAAAGGGTGGCTTGCCAACTCCGGGTCCGGAGAGAGGTCCTACCTCAAGTGGAGGAGTTTAAGTATCTCAGGGTCTTGTTCACGAGTGAGGGTAGGAGGGATCGGGAGATCGACAGGCGGATTGGTTCAGCGTCTGCAGTGATGCAGACGCTGAGCCGATCTGTCGTGGTGAAGAGGGAGCTGAGCCAGAAAGCCATGCTCTCGATTTACCGGTTGATCTACGTCCCAATCCTCACCTATGGTCATGAGCTTTGGGTAATGACCGAAAGAACGAGATCACGGATACAAGCGGCCGAAATGAGTTTCCTCCGTAGGGTGGCCGGGCTCAGCCTTAGAAATAGGGTGAGGAGCTCGGACATTCGGGAAGGACTCGGAGTAGAACCGCTGCTCCTCCGGATCGAAAGGAGTCAGCTGAGGTGGTTTGGGCATCTGGTCAGGATGCCTCCTGGACGCCTCCCTGGGGAGGTGTTTCAGGCATGTCCTGCCGGCAGGAGGCCCCCGGGCTGACCCGGGACATGTTGGAGAGGTTACATCTCCAATCTGGTCTGGGAACGCCTTGGGGTCCTGCTGGAGGAGCTGGTGGAGAAAGCCAGGGAGAGGATGGTCTGGAGCTTCCTAGTTGGGATGCTGCCCCCGTGACCCGGACCCGGATAAGCGGAGGAAGACAACGATGACTTGCATTGATTTTTTCATTCTGCGTGGAGCCGACTAGAAAGGGAGGAGAATTAGGTTCCCTTTATATGTGAGGTTAATGGGTCCTAACAGCAAGGATGCTTTTGTTTATTTGTTGCCTAAAATAAAATAATAAAATCACCCAACAGCAGAGTGCAATTACTCATTAGGTTGTTTTCAAACCAAGCATTAAAATGACTGATTGGAACAATGCTACATTAGCCTGTTAGTAGTTAGCTCTCTTCTGCATATTTAAATACTGAAAACCCCAGAAAAACATTCTGATTTTACCATTGTTTTGATGTACTGATATGCAAGGGTGTAGCAAGAGGTTCTAGGCCCTAGGTGTAAACAATCTTGATGGGCCCCCCTGATTACTTGACTGATTATTTGATTTTTATCTCTTCTGTTCATTTTCCCCATGAAATAAAACTTTGATAAAATCTTAAAATTCTTTCAACAATTGAGAAAGATCAATCACAGACTTGCTAGCATCTTTGTGTGATTGTTTCTGTGATTAAGCTAAAGGTGATGGATCAGGACAGGACGTCTTTTTATTCATTTAATGAAGAAAAAAAAAGTTCTACAAAAAAAGCAAAAGCTCATGACATCTAAAGCAGCAGTCTGGAGTTTTCCACCTTTCAGGAATTATGTATGATTGTTCTTTAGTAATCCATTACAATGATATTCTCCTTGGTCTGTAGGCAATACGTCATTATCCAGGAGAGTTAGACATCTGCTCATGTAGAGATGTCAATCACAGAGCGTGCACCAACATTTGAGGACGTACCTAGGAATCCAGAAGCACCTCTATCAGCACAGACAATTCAGCTGGTGGAGAAAACAGCTTCAGATGACAGGATTTGGAGTCTTATTGACTGACATTTGGAAATCTCGCTTCAGATTGGATAACAGCAAAGTGACCCTACCACTAACTTTGGTTGCTGTGCAACATTGAAGCATGGAGGAGTTCTGCCCTGTGGTGGAGGTGCTAACAGTAAGCTAACATTTACAGAATAGCACTGATTACAGAAAGTAAATTTCACATTCAAACATCCATGTTTTAATGATTTTTTTCTTTTTGAGCAATCTGCACAAGAACCTGCTGTTATAATTATGTTTAAAGTGCATGTTATCTGAGGTTTTTGTCATGTGCAACCTCTCCAGTAAATGGCAAGTGACTGATACAGAATATCAGCTAATTTTTGGAGACTTACTGCTGAGCGTTTGGTTCAGTGTAATTCCCAATTTTTCACAACTGTCAGTGATGCAAGAGCCAGTCAGGAAATGCTCTTTCAAAGTTGTTAAAACCGATTAAATGACAGCGGGCACATCAGCATGAGATTAACGGAGGCAGAAGCCCGATGTGAACAAAAATTCTGAGTTTCTAGCTCACCTGTCATGCAAGTTTTTGAACTGAGGACCTAAGAAGGCATGTGAAGGTAAATTCCCAACAGGTGAGACCAGAATCAGGACCACTTTTTTTAGGTTTAGTTTCTTCCATTCCCTATTTTCGCATTTTATTTTGTTCAGAAAAAAGTAAACTCCTGCTTTTTAATAATCTCACTCGAAGGCTTTTTTTCACTAATGTAACAAATAAGAAGAAGCAGCAGAGGCTCACCATCATGCATTTGTAAACTGTCTTGGTATAAACAAAAAAGCAAAATGCATGAATACAATTCAGTATACACTATATGAGTTATTGAAATCATCATGATCTGTCTTTTCCATATAGGAGTGTTTCTTAGTATTTTTAGAAGCAACAAATTAGCTTCGCTGCATGGGGCCTAATTGGAGCCAAATGGAAATCACTTGACTCATGAGTGAAAATTGCTATGCTACTTTTTTCAACATTTAAAAACAATACCTGAGAAATCCAAATATTTGTAGTTGGTAGATAATCTTTCATGTTGTACACTCATAAATCTCGGCTGTGACCTTTGACTCGCTGGGACATCCTTCTTGCTGTGGCCCTTCTGCAGTCCATCATCTATATTAGTCCTGTTTGAGTGCTCTGCTGGAACGCTACAATACGTGTCCATGGGAATGGCTTGAGGCAGCCAGGATCAAGATGCCTCCCAGAGTGGACGGCTTGATTGGAATACCACTGTGAGGTGTCACAACACATTCCTATCATGTGACTATCTTATCTAAAACAGGACATGGGACTATGGCTGTGTCCAAATTCAGAGGGTTGTAGACTCATAAGTACCCGTCCTCATCGGTCTCCGGAGAACTTGTTCTTCCGTGACCGGTTAGACCGGATGTTAACAGCGGTGAGTTTGGACAGTCTAGCCTTAAATAATAGTCCTGTCCCTAGTACGGCAAATGTCCTCTTGTCACTAAGAAGAAGCAGCAGAAATGGAGCTCGCACATATTTTATACTTTTTCCTTGTAACGTTATTGTTTGAAGAGCTACAGCAGATGTACTGCCGGTGTTTTGGGAAATTCTGTTCCCCTAAAATATTATGTTTCCCCTAATAACTTAGGCAAATAAAGAACAAATATTTTCAAATTCACAGGACCTAATGTCCATTATGAGAGGACTTAACAACTTCAAATAAAAGATGGCTAAACTGAGTGAGATTACATCCTTTTACATAACGTTCAAAAATGATTAATAAACTTGCTGGAAAAGAGTGAACAACACTGTTTTTACTGTGGTGTTTTTTTTTATTGTTTTTAGGAGGAAATATAAATAAAAAAAACATCACAAGCATGACATCATTACATCACATAAATTTCCCCTAAAAGTCTATCACAAATGGTGTGAAGATAACCTGAAGTGCGACCTCTCGACATGAGGGAACAGACTTCAGGGGAACAGAATTTCTCACAACTGTCCCTCAGTGCAACTCGGGATTTATAGAGGTGAGGAGACATCACTGCACCTGTTCTCGAATTCAGGTAAAAGAAGAAGGGATTTCTGAACACTCTTTGAATTTGGACAGTCTTTGTCACGGCGCTGTGACGTCACCGGTCTTAAAATCTGGCCTCATGAGCATGCAACCCCTGAATTTGGACACAGCCATTGTCATCAGTGAGGAGGATGAGGGCAGAAGATGGTAACATCGTCCTCTACTGCCAGCACATAAATGGAGAAGGGAGTGATGCCACCAACATCGGCACAGCTCTGAGGAAGGCTACAGTGTTAGCTGAAACTTGTCAGCTTATAAAGTAAAAACAAATCTTTAATATGCTTTGTTTAGACAAACAACACAAGCAATGGGATTTGACAGATTACACAGAATGAATGTACAAAAGAAATACAAAACTGTTTATCCTCTACATTTTATTTTGTTCAGCACAAATTTATCTGTTCAAAAGGTTTCCAGCAACATGCCTGTTTACTGAAATGGAGGATCTGCTATTTCACCAGAAAAGAACACAAGCAATCAGAACCATTGGACTATGGGGGTATAGGACTCTGTCCTCCTGTCCTTTCCTATGTGTGAGTCAGTCCTGGATCTGCAGCAGGAAGGACATTCAGTGGGTATTTTTAGAATTATAGTTGGTTTTATTGTAAAGGTTATAGCAAGCTTGGCCCAAGACAGCACTAACCTTCTGCAACCCACAAACATTTTTTTTTCATTCACTCAGA